GCATCGCCATCGTATCCAGCAACTACGGCCTCCACATTCGCCGGCGTCATGTTGATGACAGCTTTCAGCGCGTCTGCCTGAGCAAGGAAGCCGCTTCGGGCCCCCTTGTTGTCCCGGACAGCCTACAAATGAGGTGGGAACATTGTATAGTGCCCTTCGTGAGTTGAGTGGGGATCACGCACTTTAACTCTATCGACGAGCGCGCTGAGCCCCTTTGCAACGAGAGGTAGGCCCGGTACGGGGACAAGGCTTAGGGCATCGCCAGCCAGGTCGAGGATGGGAGAGGCGACATCGAGGGCAACATCAGCAGCCCTACGGCGCGACATGAACGACTATGACGAGTGTGTCGTGGACGGTGTGGGCAGACCGTGACTTTCACAGCACGGGAGGGAACGTGCTTGGGTTTACCGTTTATCTGCCTCGTGTACCGCCGGCCATGAGACGTGGATTGGCAGGGAAGCCAATCCCTCGCTGCAGGCTGTGTGTTAGAGTTTGATAGTACGTACGAAGACGCACTTTGCGTCGCATGCCTTTCTGGCATGCTTCGACGTCGGCGCCGTCACGGTGGGCGCGGAGATGTCGAGCAAGATAATACGCCGGTCAGGTATTCCACTATGTTGTGCATGCTTCATTGCGAATACTTCAGATGGACGACAAGTGACCTCAGAAGAACGTGCAGCGTGTCCCCGCAGAGCTTGAATACACGCACAGTCGAAGACTTGAGTCTTGTGACCAAAAATGGGGATATTATACATAAATATCAGCTCAAAGACTCAGTTGCGGTGAGTCAAGTTGGCACGCCTTGGAGAGTGACCGCTTTGAGTAGAGTCTAGACCCGGAGTCTGCGCCTGCGCAGGCGCATGGCGAGCGCCGCTTGCAATTAATATTTACACTCTTGTTCCCTTGCCTCGAGAGGTCCACCCTCCGCATATCCTATCGAGCTGTAGAGAATGAATCCAGACCTCTTGCCGACGTTGTCTGCGTCCGAGGCGCTCACATTGTACCTCTCCAAGCTCGACTGGCGGCCTCTGTAGCTCTCCCCCGGCCAACTTGAAGCGCGGTCGTGCAGACTGGTCTCGTGGCAGCCAGGGACCAGCGAAGGTAGCGAGATGTGCGTAGTGCCTTCATGATAGAGCGGACCTGGAAGCTGTTAGTCGCATACCACAGAATCTGTCTGGTCGCATCTGCCGGTGTCGACGCACAAGCATTGACCAGTATGGAAGATCGTGCACCTGAACGTGGCTACCACTTCTTGCTTCGTTGCAAGCCTTGTAGGTTTCTAGCATTGCGAGTTGCCTCCGCCATTCCCACGAACAGTGCCTAATCTCAAGTATCTGGGAGCATCGAAGAGAGCGTAGCAGAGAGCTCTCGAGGGCGGTGGTGGACAAAAGGGCGCGAGGCGAAGCTCGTGTGCTGCCGGTTCGAATAGGTACATGTCTGATTAGCCAGAATATGCCGCCGTGCTGATCACTGGTTAGACTGTCGGGAATATCCCACGCAGAAGCTGAAGCCATGTATCCCACCACTGCCGTTGCCTATCGCGGTCTGCTTCGCGTGCCATCTTGTGCGTAGGCACCTAACCTCACATCTCGTAAGTCTGTACTACCAACCAGTACAGCGGTCACTTATATCGACAATGCCCTTAGCGTTTCGCCATCTGCCAGCCCGGCCGCCATCAGCTTGTTGATTCTCGTATGGTGACACATGAGGTAGTTCGTGAAGATCGATGGCGAAAGGGGTCTACGACGCGTCTATTGCGTTACTCTACTCTGAGCGGTCTGACAATGTCGGCCAGTGACCAGTTGAGACTGTCCCATAGCTTGTCCGGAAAATTGTCGTCCTAGCCAACGGCAGCGTTGGGCAAAGCAAACTTTTGCCTAAGCAGCACTCACGACTGCGAGCCCCGCTGGAGATCTACCCTTGCACATTCGGTAAGCGCGGATTGACGGACGTCTGGTAGTCTGCACCTACATAAATGTCATCGAAGCTGAAGCCGCTTACAAGTATCTTCGCCAAGTGCGCCGAAACCAATCACTACGGGCTCAGGATGGCGGGATGTGTCCCTCACAGGCTTGTCACGACAGGTCACCGGCCTCTGCACTCCTCGTTCGTCTGGGCCGGTGGGTCGTTTGGGCTAGCGAGTTGTTCGCGAAGGTCACCCGCTCGTTTTCTGGCATGCAGAAGCCACAACGACTGCACGATCAGTGACTGGTCTGCCGTAGGCTGCACGGAACGGGTGCGCACGATCATTGCTTGTCTCGCGTGTCTTCCACGATTCGACGCTGAGACTTTTGTAGACGATGACTCCCGTCTAACGCCCAGCCAAACTTTCGCAGGCGCCCACCGAACGTTATCGCTAATGTTCTCGCCTAACTCCCATCGGTACGTAGTTGAAAGCGATCTTCCCCTGCTGCTATCGCTCAGCTTTTTGCATCTTAGGCTCAAGCTGAGCGAAGAAGATACGCTCCTCGTCAGCAAACACGAAATGCCCTGTTCGCTCACACTGCGCCGCGTCAAAGTAGGCTCCAAGTCAAAGCTGCCATATGAAGTTTGAGAAGGTCGACACGCGCGCGGTCCAGTCAGAACTGTACGAGCGGATGGAGACATACAAGATGGCCGTGGAGGCGAAGGGGTTGATAGCGAGAATTGCGCATCGTCAATGGTGCTTGAGCAAGCCAAGGACATCTGGAAGCCGTCGGAGAACGCATACAAGCAGTAGGTCCGTGCCTTAGACAGACCACTCAAACAGGTCGGCTTGCTTAGCGCGGCGGTATCTGACGACACATTTTTAGGGTGCTAGGTGAAGAACAACAAGGTCAAAGCTGATCTACACTATTTGGACACCGTTGATGGCAAGCAGAAGCGCGGCAAAGCTATGGTCGGTCGTATCCCCCATCGATGACGACCAGTTTTAGCGTCGCGACGGGAAGCAGCTAAAGACGAGGGCGGTGGAGACATGACTCGCGATGAAAAAGGTCTATGTTGGGCGATACACAGGGGCGATACGAGGCGATTCTGCAGACTGAGGATGATGCCAGTCGCCGACGGTGCTGAGCTGTTCGAGGAGCGGCCAAGAAGGTAAATGACTTGTCTGGTCGGCTGTCGTGTTCGTCCCTGATGACCTCGTCTGCAACTTTACCCTTGCTGCTACAAGGTTCTCAGGTAGCCGATCGCCGTGTCTACCATCTGCAAACACATCATGAGCGACCACCACAGGCTCCTCCAATTTCCGAGGATTAACGCTTGATGTTGAACTGGCTCGGAGGACGCACATCCAGGAGGGATCGCGGCCACACTACGATGCGAATGGGGAATGGAGAAGCGGCGCTGTTGCTGGTGGTGGCTTGTACAATGCGCTTGTCGTTGGGTCTGGGGCGTATGACTCTGCGCTGATATCGACGGACGAGGACGAGCGGCCGCCGTGGAACGTGCGGAAGAGCGACGGAGGACATCACACCAAGCAACGACGAGCACAGATCTTACCGTCACGGCCTTCGCCATTGAGCTTCACCCTATGTTACATCTTCACATACGCAGGCTCGTCTATTTAGCATGCCACTCATACATCGTACTAGATTGTAGTCCATCTCTCGAGTAATCCAACATATCTTTCTATGCAACCATAATAGGCAACAGCAGCAGAAAATCAGACGAATGCGAATGATAAGGAATGTACGTAGTTAACAAGTCCTGGCCCTCTTTTTAACTTCTCCCAGGGCCTTCGCGCTAGGTGCAGTAGACTTTTCGTTGACGGAGCTCGGAGAAGGCGATGGGAATGTGGAAGACACATGGCCATCTGCGGGTGCGGGTGCTGGCCTGGTGTGAGGGCTAGAGCCTGAGGTCGCTGCATGTGAGGTCGCAGGGTAAGTGATAAGTCCATCGCTAGGAAGATCGACTGGCAACGCGACAGTGTTGGCCGCAACGGGTGCCTCTCCGCCGTCATCGGCAGAAGAGACGGTGTTGTCCTCTGGGGAAGGTGCGGAAACCATTTCCGATGCTGCAGAGGCGGTGGACGAAGACGATGAGGCGGTGAGAGTTGGGCTATGAAGAGGCGTGCTGGGCTGAGAGCGATCGAAATCTGGACCTGCCAAAAGCGTTATCTCGCTTGTTTTCGTAATTTGCCACAACTGGTGTGCGAATTTCTCATGCCGGCTCATCTCCGTCATGAAATCTACCATGGTGGCCTGATATCGCGCCAAGCAGCTGCTGTCGGCGGTGAGGTCCAGGCTGGGAAGGAACTCTTGGTATTCAGGAGGAAGTCTTTGGACTGCCTGTGATATGTCGTCCGGGGTGATTTGTGGTGGGGCACGACTTGGAGATGTGAGAACACCGAGCTGCCATAGTTCAATATAAATACCAAACTTGACGAACTCAGAACATATTGCCTTCCCGGCTTTAGAAGGCTGCGCCACAAATGATAATAAAATATGACCATTAGCTCAGCATACGACATGTATATGCGGCATAAAAGTAGCTGAAGCTGATTACCCACCTGGAGACAGTGCCATATATACCGGATAGCATAGTCGACTAGTCTAGGATGAAATTCTTTCGTGTTCCATATATGCAAGACCAGCCGGATATCTTGCACGAACCGAGATAGCTGCTCCTCCAACTCTGCGGTATGTTCGGCCTGCATAACATGCTTCTGCCAGCTGTCTTTCATTATAAAAAAGTTGACATGTGCAAGCTGGGGCGGCAGGCCCGAACTCTGCAGAAAATATGTGAAATTTTCAAAGGAAATGGCTGCTAGACAAGCACATGCCAGGTGAGCATGCCCTTCGGCCTTGTCCACATGGTAGAGCACATCGTTGCAGCGGAGCTCATCGACAAGGAACTCGCCGAACGACGCGTGGAGGGGCACCACGTGCCCATCCTTGTCGATCATCAGCACGGAGCGCAGACGGTCCACCACGTCGGAGACATCGCCGGCTGACAGATCGCGTTCGTAAAACGCGACGGTATCGGAATTTATCCACTCGGATTCCAGGGCAACAAAGCGCAGGAGGGAGCGGAGACGCTTGTGTTCAGAAGGTAAGGCGCGCAAGTCTTCGGGGGGAAATGAGGATTGTAGAATCTGCAGATACAGCGCATCGAGGGGCGACGCCGCAGGGCTCCCGCCCGAGAGGACAAGCTCAAACCACTCCTTCGGATGACTATGATGCTCGTCCAAGAAATTTACAGTGATCCGGGCAAAGATGAATACGCCGGCCGCACGTGAGACGAGGCGTCTGAGGGCGTCGGGGTGCTCGCTGAGGTAATCGGCATAGGAGGGTATCTTCGGTACGGTCTCCTTCAGGTAATGCTCGACATCACCGTCACTGTCCGCTGCGTCCTCTAGTCGCATGTGGTTAACAACATCGGTGCAGTCGGGAGATGCGAGCACCGACAGTATATGGGGTTCCGGGCGCGATGCGGCAAAGATATACAGCCACGGTAACTCGCGGACGAGACTGAACAAGCATCGAAGTAGCTCGGGAACTAGCCTCCTGTCCTTGCATTCATCTATCCCATCAATGACGATCAGCGTCGGGGCTTGGTCCGCGGGAGCGGCGATGAGAGCCTTCCGAAGGAGCCCGCCGAACGCGTGTTGCATCTGCTGCCGGTCGCCGTGATTGAGATACTCACGTGCGGTGCTGACGATGTGGGGGCGAAGGGTCGGTTGAGAGACGGCAAGCTGGCGTGTGATAGTCGAAAAGACGAAGTGAGCATCCTCGAGGTTCCCGCTACCACGGACGAAGAAGAACGAAGCGCCGAGCCCGAGCGAAGGCTGCTCCGCTGTGTCATGGCGGACGCAAAGTTGGTGGGAAATCGACGACTTCCCTAGGCCTGCCCCGCCAGTGAGGTAGCAGACTCGCTTGGGCTTGTCCTTGGGGAATCGACCAGCCGACCACTGCTCTAGCTCCTCGAATAGCTCTTCCCGCGTGCCTTGCGTGAATCCGCTCTTGAGTTCGTCTACCGACCGATAGCCTGCGTCTGCTCGAGGAATGGAGTCGATAATCCTCTTGTCCTCTTTACGGGCAGCGGTCAGGCCCTGGGCCAAGCGTGCACAAGAGGCTCGTGAATGGACTTACCAGCTTCCTGCTGTTGATGCTGATTCTCCCGTAGCTGACGTTGATTTTCCCGTAACTGATGTTGAATATGCTGTAGAATGGTGTCATGGACAAGTCGTATGAGATGACTGCATCCCGCAAACCTTCGTATCCTGCGCAACCTTGTCGAGGATGTTCTCGATGGATATTGAGCCGCCGAGCTGGAGCAAGAGAGTATGCATCAATGCTCATATCAAGAGCCGATGAGGTCGGCATACTTTGAAGAGTTCTAATGCCCTTGCCAGCTCTTCCCTCATGTCTGAAAGAATCGCTTGGTCCCGAGACCCGTAGACGAGTCCTTTCGAAAACCCGCGGAACCCCTTCCCGCCCTTTAGCTCTTCCGCACGCCCTTGAAGGTCTTCAATTGTGCTGGTTGTCTTCAGCTTCGCCTCGGACGGACAGTGGTCAAACCCTGAGCGCACCTCTTCAAATCTCTTATCCGCTTCTGCAGATCATCAGAGTGCTCGATTTTGTCCAATAGCTCTTTCTTATCCTGCGCACTGCCGTCGTACCCGGCGACTACGGCCTTCACATTTACCGGCGTTGTATCAATAACAGCCTTCAGCGCGTCTGCCTGAGCTAGGAAGGCACTGCGTGCCCCCTTGTTTTCTCGAACAATCTATAAACAAAGGAGTGTCGTAGGGTGCCATTCGTTAGTTGAGTGGGGTCGACACACCTTGACTCTCTCGACGAGCGCCCCGAGCCCCTTTGCGACGAGAGATAGGCCAGGCACCGGGGCAAGGCCTAGGGCATCGCCAGCCAGGTCAAGGATGGGAGAGGCGACATCGAGGGCAACATCAGCAGCTCTATGGGGCGACATGGACGACTATGATGAGTGTGACGTGGACGGTGTGGGCAGACCGTGGCTTTCACAGCACAGGAGGGAGCGGGCGATGCATGGATTCACCTTGTGTTGGCCTCGTGTACCGACGGCCATGAGAGGTGGATTGGCAGGGAAGCTGATGTATCGCTGCAGGCTGTGTGTTAGAGTTTGATAGTGCGAAGATTGCGCTTCGTCCCGGGAGCCGCGTGTCTTTTGGCAGCGCAGGTGTGGAGATATCAGGCAAGACGGTACAGTGAGGGAGTCTGAGGCCTGCCAAATGTGTTGTATTCGTTGCGAGAGTCATCCCGACGCGTAGGTCAATGTCTTGGAACAAACGTCCAGGGTCCGCCGGTGCTCCTATCTGCTCTCTCTCCGATGTTCGCCGCGAGTCGATCTCCGTCCTGCTCCAGACACCTGCTTTTGAACGTGTCCAACGCCACCCATCCCAGTCACCTTATCCCTTAATGCTGCGAGTAACCCTTCCCTCCGGCCCAGAGCTGAAGCTGAATGACCGAAGCGGCTGGCGGAGCTTAACAGGTGGCCAAACTCGCCAGGAGCGAAAGGTCGTTGGTCGAAAGTATATTACGGGGTTGGATCTAGGTGCGCACATACACTGGGTCTCATAATGGCCCGCTCGTATACAATCCGCTTCGAGCCGCCAAAGTGGATCACTTGCCGAATGAGCCGCTGCTATCGCCTATGCTCGATATCTGGTGGTCACCATCTTGTCATGTACAGCATCACAGTATTTAATATCATACTCGAGAGCTATACGGTAGTGTCAGCTTTGTGCGGAGCGGACAAATAACTCAGGATGCACACTATTACCGGCGAGCACAGGCGCGAGGGCTCACACGCGATTCACGATGGTCATTGTCTGCACGGTGTTGGACTCGCGAGCTTGAACAGTTCGAGATGCAGCTGGACGTGCCGAAGTCTGCGCCTCAGGTGCAAAACTCAGGAGATGGTTGATGAATCGTCTCGCCGAATGTTTAGCGCGGGCGGGCTACCTAGGCGCGCGTACGACTCAACTCGCGCCAGACACGGCGGAAGAGTACGCGTGACGTCGCAGGGAGCGCAAAGGCGAAGAAGCGCGAGTTGCCTCCAAGGTAGCATGTGCGAGCTGTTCCTGGCCGAAGAGTGGTTTGGTGACTGCAAGAGTGCCGGCCAGACGGGAGATTCTAGCGATGTGCGCCAAGAATGCTGGCCGCGCGTCAGGGGCTGTACAGCACGTATATACGTCGGTAGCACTCACAAGATGTAAGAATTTCAAGTACCCTGTCCGAACTCGAGGTGTAGAACGTCAGTGTTCTCGATGTAGCCCGGTTGGTGGCCTCCGCGCTTGAACGAGCGCCGGATACTGTATGCTTCCCACATCTATCCGCCGTATCAGTTATGTATCCTCGACCGCTCGCCTAGCAGCGAGGGATCGTAGATACCAATCCTCGTTTTCGTTCTCGACGAGTGAGACTCGCTCGTATTCCGACTTCTGTCTGCAGTGTCGTAACCCGTCAGCAAACCGGCCAAAGCGCACAGACGATTACTGGTGAGACGCACCAGAGCAAAACGCCTGCTTCGACCGAACTCAGCTCAGCCCTATCCAGCGCCGCGGCATTCGACATGCTCTCCACGTTCGGGTCCCAAAGATCCCTGAGCTTCTCCTACGTGGCGGTATTCCGTGTCCGTCGTTCAGGGCTAATGGTCCAAGCAACTTCCCGCTCAACCCGGCACAAGATGCACAGCTGGCCGGACGGGGACCAGCATCGTAGTATTGCAGAAGATGGTGTGTGCGCCACGTGAGAGGACGGCGAGAGTGTGCCGTCGTGCTCGGGCGGCGATGGGGCGGTGTCGGGCAGGAGGGGTGCTGTGAGCTGCATCGAAAATTTGTTGAGTATGCTCGTGCCGGGAAATGGTACGCAGGTCGAGCATGATCTTGTAGATTTTCGGCTTTGTGGACACCGCACAACATTCCCCCGGCGGCTGAGCTCCCAAAAAAAAAAAGCATGAGAGTGGGGTCACGGTTATCCGATAGATGGACTAGCGCAGATTTGGCCGACCATGGTTCCGTCGTGAGCGATGGAGTCTCTAGATTTCGGTTGAGTCTGAATCAGCCAAGAGGTGGTAGGATGGTAAGAAGCATAGCGAAGATCTAATGAAATATCCCACTGTCAGACTCCGCCATGGCTGGCGCTTGCCACTCGGACGGACTCTGACTCGGACGGACTGGGACGAAGCTTGAGTCAAAGTTTCATATCTTCTCTGGTGAATTCGCCTAGTGTCTCAATCGAGTGGC